CCCGGCTGCCCTGCTCCTGGCCGGGGGTGGGACGGGCCCCGGTGCCAGGCCCTGCCCTGACGGACCCCTGAACCCCGGGAGCTGCTGGCCCAGGCAGGGTGCCGTCAGTGGGCTTTGGGGAAGACCAATGAATCCTCTCACCTACGACATATGGTTTTGCTGTGTAGTTTGCTGCTGTTGCTGCTGCTGAATGAGCAATTGCTGCTGTTGCCGGCGCCGGGCTGTTCTCAGTTTTTCGAAGCGAGCCTCCATCTCCTCCAGCACCTTGGGAGTGTAGCGTACCACCAGCTTGACGCTGTCCTTAGCCGCCTTCAGCAGCTCCACCGCCTTCTCGTGGTGTTCTCCTTCCACGCTCTGGGAGCAAAGAGAAGAGATTTAATAATGAAAATGCTGCTTTGATCTAGAGCGCTGTCCTCTTTTTCATACAGAAAGGCTGTCGGGGTTTTAGGAAGTTTCCACACCTTACGTTTTTCAAGGGACCATTAAGGGACAGTGTTGAGTTAAGTAAGATTTATGCACTGCTGGGAATGTATTCATTTTCATATTTTAAATAACTCAAATCTGTTTTAGGTTGCATTACAAACCTAATTTCTGATCTGTGTGAAAAGGAGGGGAAATACTCAACGAGCTTTATGCAAACAAAAATAATGTTAAAAAAACCCAAACCCCACAGTAAAAACACAGTCTGTTTGCAAGGTACAAAAATAAGTATTTAAATGTTGGTAAGAAATGAAGAAATTGCAAGTTTGAAATCGCAGTTCCTTTCTTACACCCTGGCCTGTTTGGATCCCGCAGGGAATGACATGTGGTGATTCAGCAGCCACTGAGCTGCAGGTGAAGGAGCATGCCTGCTGCTCCCAGGGACAAGCTGCATCTTAGTTAATGGCATTGATCACACGTTTAACGTTTATGTGATATGGGTTCTCTACTGGAAATAAACTAGTCTTTACGAGGTTAGTTGTAAGCAATCAAACACTAACAACTGAAACATTTCAAGTTCTTGCTGAAGGAACATATATTTTCCCTCCCTTTCTGGAAAATGGTTTACAGTAAGATGATACCTGCTGTGAAATCGAAAGTATTCCCAAAGGGGCTCAAGCTCTGATTTCTATGCTAACATTGTTTGAAAAAAGTAAATTTCCAAAAGGGGCAGGTGACTTGGCTGTGGAAAGAGTATTTAGTTTCTACCATTAAGCGGACTGACCAGAGTGCTTTTCAGGCATGTGGATTGTTCCACACCTTAAGAGAAAGGGAGAAATTTTCTAATGGTGTATGATTGCCCATGTGTGTTGTAGGATATATTCCAACAAACAAAAGTATCTCTGCACAGAAAAAAAAAGACCGCACAACTGAGATCTTCACATGGATTTTAGACCATTTAAAAAACAAGTAATTTTCTTCCCACATAAAATAAAGTTTTACTACATGCTGTGTTTTAAAACTCTTATGTATACCATGCTATTTAAAATGAAACGGTACCCATAGGCCTCCAAAGAGAAACAGCAGCATTCAAAATATTTGAAGTTCAATTCATGCTAAAAGAATAACTTAGCATTGTTATAGCAACTGTCAGAAGAAAATTCTTTCTATTTTCATCTCTCCTATTTGACTGAGTAGCATTGTGCAAGAACAGTGAATAAGAATTACTTCTGCTGTGGCACACTATGAGATAGAAATAATGATTTAAAAGTTTCAAAAAGCAGACACAATACACTTCTACAGAGATAGTATAAACAAGACAATTCAAGCTTATTGCCTTGCTATTTATCTTTCTTCTCCTGTAAAATATCCAGAAACAGAGAAAACCTTGAAGTAAATAGACATTTGATTGTTGAAATAAATTATTTCATGTTTTTGAACTGTATGTTAATGAAATTCCTCCAGTAGGTCTCCTATTCAAAGATCTTCAAGAAAATTCATGCTCTGTGATGACCAGATTTGTTAGAAATTGTGATTGGGATAAATCTGCTGAACAAGCACTGCTACCCAAAAGTAATTTGGAGAAAAAAAGTTTCCTTACAAATATTCGAAAAAGAGGAAATTGTTGTTGCATAAGAAACAGTGAGTGTATCTAATGCTCCAAAGAGAGCTAAAATAAAAAGGTATAGATGCACAGGGTGTTTTGTGAAGTTGCTTTAATGAACAAGTCATAGATACAAATTAAAACCTCTTCCCTTCATCCCCTACCCTATAACTGCTCAATGTTAGAATAGGCGATCATAACTAACACATACCGTAACTAGCTATCTTTTATAACTCATTGCTTTGTGACTGGCTTTGATACTGGCTTTTGTAAACACAGTTCTCACCTTAAGAGGAACTGTATAAAATTTGGCATTGTTTTATATTTCACTTTTTGCTTGTGAATCGTGGTATGATGTGGCATGGACATTCAGAGGAAATGGCAGTGTACTTATTGTTGTTGTGATCCATTTTGCTGTGGAACAGTATGAACTTGGAACAGGCTATGAACAAAAATTGTAAGCTCCCAAGTTACATGAAGTAGCTAAAATATTCATTTACTTTCAAAGAGTTGGACGGTTCTAATTGACATCACTAAGCAATTTGTGATTGTATCTGTTCTGTAGGGGAGTAATAAGATGGTGTAGTTTAATACTTCATACAACTTAGTAAACTGTATTTAATTCATGACTGCCTGTTTTCTTTCACATTTGCCTCCAGCCTTGTTTTTCCAGTTTACAGCCGGTATTTTCTAATTAGGAATGAAGGGGTTTACTTTGTTGCTATCCAGGTCAATGGAAAACTCCCATTGACGTGAATAGTAATGATAGAGAATTAAGCCTAAAGCTCTGAACCATAACCAATGGGGGGAAAATAACAAAGGCAAAGTAGAAGATAGTACTGCTAAATATGAATCCTACTTTCCAAACGTACCTAACTCAGGTCTTAACAACTACAGTTTTCAGCTGCTATTAACATGATTGCTATACTTGCTCTTAACATCTTCATTGCTGCTTGCACTCGTATTTCCAAAGCATTACAAATGCTTCACCTGCATAGCGTTAGCTGCACAGTTTAAATAGCAGAGCCCCTTCGAGTAGGGAAAAGAGCTTATACCAGCAAAGGAAGTTTTTTTTCTGTTTGAATTCTTCTGCCTCTGCAAATCTCTGAGGCTGTGCTGGCAAAGGACTCCTGCTCGTATCGGAACATGTCTGTACAAGGGATTTTGCTGATGGGATTACACTGATTGGGGACATTGTGAGGATCTGACACTCATGTTACTTTAGAACTGCCCACCAAACATGGGATTTAATAAATTTGTTTCGGAATGTATATCTTTATTTAATATGTAATTTTTGATAACATATATTTATATATACTTACGTCTGTATTTCCCTTATTGCATTGGCAGACTGCATCAAAAAAAGGGATGCAAAATACTGTAGAGACAAGAACACCTGAAAGAACTGCAGATACGGCGTGCGGAAACACCAACCATTATTATAGCCAGGCTCACAGACTTGTCATAAATACAAAAGAAAAAAATCTCACTCTCTTGCAGACAAAAAAGAGTTGAGAAACTGAGAAGAATATTTCCATTAGATATCTGTAAGCAAATGCTTGGGTGAGAAATTAGCCATTATAAACCTATTTTGTATCCCTTTCTGTATCTGACTCACACCAGGTATCTGACAAATGCAGAATCTTTGCCAGATATGAACAGCCACCAGCAAGTGCCTTTGCTGAGCCATCTGCAGGGCTTACTGCTTTCAATTTCCTTTACTTTTAGGGGGTGTAGGACAAAAGTATGTAACAAAATCCCCAGCATAATGAGAAAACACTTTTTTTAACATCTGGTAAAACAGCTCAAGGAACAGTCATCCCAGTCATGCTGGGATAACAAATCTGGATTCTGAACACACAGCTCTAATTTTATGTTGATAATTATAAAGTTGGATAACCACCAACTTCTAAGCACAAACAAGTTACAGATATTTCATTTTCATTTCATGTTCCACTGCTGAGCCGTCTGTTGTATTGTACATACTGTATATTATTTGCTTTTCTCCAGCTAAATTGAGAGAAGCACAGAGTGAACTAGTCCCAGTGACAATGTTAAATTTAGACCTTTTTCCTCCTGTCTCAAGCTGTCTGCAAACAAATTACCACTTCTATAATTTTTGCCTTTTTACGAATTATATTGTATGGGCTTAATCCAGCCCAGGATTGGTGTATGAACAGTTGCTCATAGGCATTATTTCAAGTATGCAACTGCAATGCAAACTTCAAATTCTGTTGTTTAGACCCTGAATGCTAAAATAGTTCTGTTGCATCTCAGAATCAACTTTCTCATGCGCCTATATGCAATTGGGAATTTTATATTGTTGTTTTTTGCTACATTAGCTTAATGTATATTCTAGAGCACATTCATGAAATTTTTTGAACAGGGTATCATGAAATAGAGCTGACGACAGTCAAATTCAATTAAAGGTTCACCATTGTCCTCCCTGGTATTTGCCTAGACGCTGTTGACAGTGACAGGATTTTTCAAGAACCATCCATCAATTAGTGAATATAAACTCTTTTTATCTGTCTCTTTATTCACCTGTTGAAAGAAGTGCCGAACAACAACAAAATTATTTGATCTACTTCTAATCAGTGAAGTTCAGGCAATTTACTTATTAAATGTTCAGTTGATTTCTTTTTCCCTGAGACTAAATAATCTTTTCAGTGGGTTTTCTTTTGTTTTGTATCTTTTCTTTCTCATTGTGTGCAGAGGCAAGTAAGCTTCCAGACCTATTATTTCTCTTTTGAGAACACGATGGTTGATAGAAGAAGTGGTAAAAAGTCTGTCTGAAGTGTTGCACTGATATTTTGTTTCAAGAGAAGGGGAATAGCTATTGTTGAGAGAAACAGATGACAACATGAAAGCATGTAGAAAACAGCATTTTTTTCATTCTTTATGGGCTTGCGAGCTTTCCGAGAGGAAATTTAAGTTGGAAAGTCTTATATTTATGACTAGATTCAGGAATTGCTCCTACGTGCCTTTGGTGTATCTAAATACAAGGTTTAGATGGAGGTTTTGCATGAAAAAGGATTATGTTTTCATTAAGAGAAGTGTAGGGTTATATGAATGAGTATGCTTACCCTTTCAGTACTTTACATTCCCTTGTAAAAGGGAACAAAAAGCAAAATGAAAGGCAGGATTTGACCCATATCATGTAGTCAGAGCCTTATTTTTCCTCTTTATTCCAAGAGCCCTTTTATTTTTACCTCCATACTGACATTCACAGTGAAACTACTGCAAAACACTCCACCCTGAAGTATTGACTTACATGAAAAATGACTATGTAAAAAACGTACCTTTTTACTGAAAACACATGCTCTCTGTATGTGTTCATTTGTACAGCTGATTTTTCTGACAAAGATATCACAGTTGGATGAACGTCACTGAAAGAAGTCTGGAACGTACCTTCCATTGCAAATCACCACCAAATGTGCTTACCAAATTGCTTTTGATTTTATGTGTTCAAATGCCCTGTTCAAATGCAAGGCTGCACAAGTGCCACGGAGGCATCACTGTATTTGGAAAGGGCTGTGTGTCTTAGAGGCTATGAAGTGCAAGAATGACAAAGCCTGTTATTACGCTTCTACTGCAAAAGGAATTTGCAGAATTATCAGTTAAGAAAGACATAGCTTCCCTGTAAATTAAGCATGTGGTGTGGATTTAAAATGAAGCTCTTCAAGCATCCTCCATTACAACAGAAATTGTAGTGGCACAAAGTTGTCAATGCAGCTTTGCTGCACTGCACCACAAATGCACGCTGAAGGACTCTCACAGAGTTAATTCTTTTTGTTTCATATGGCTGCATTTTAAATCACGGTATTAGAATAGCTGTGAAAAATGAAAATCCAGATGAAAATGAAAGCTCTATCAAATTTCCACATACCACTCCATTAACCGAAAGCAGCTGGTCCCCCCGTTTGAGCCCTCCATGCCTTTCTGCCACTCCTCCAGGAATGATGCGAGAAATATAAATAGGTGAATTTTGTTCCTTTCCTCCCATGACATTAAAGCCCAGGCCTTCATCAGTCTTTGGCAGCTCCACCACTCGCGGGTGTGAATGGCCTTCGCTTGCAGCAAAAGCAGCAACTGTCGCCTGGAAGAGAAAAA